CGCTGTCCAAGAAACCGCTCAGGTAACACACACAGACCTGTGCTCAGGTTACTTACTAATATTTACACGCTCTGGTTCCTGTTGTTCAGCCGTGTTGCTCTCTAGCAGGACAAACGGCACCACCTCACACGCACTTTCTAATGTGTAAAACAGTTTGAGCCTTTTAAATTGTTCAGTTCTTGTCCAGTTTGAAGACGCGACACTGCGATGTACTTGCTGATTGGCTGGCTTATTAGGGTCTGTCATTTGCCTTCGCAGATACTTTACATCTGTGAAAACAAATGGAAATTATGCCTGAATCTGATTTAGCTGAACATCTGTGTGGCTCTCAACACAACCCCTCACTCAAACACAACACCTACGCCAGGAAGCTCTTTGTGAACTACGGCTCAACATTTAACACCATCACCAAACAGACTGGAGTTCAGATGAACCTGGATATTAGATTTCCTCACTAATCGCCCTCAGATTGCTGTTAACCACGAGTTTTGGTTGTTGTTAAGTTTGCAGATGAGATGATGCAGTTGGAATCTGCCAACAGTGATGATACAAACAGCAGGAAGGAGGTTCACAATTTGACCCCATAGACTGATGATAACCTGCTCTTAAACACCACAAAGACCATTACAGACTTCAGGACCTTATGTGTATATACTTCTCAAACTTTATACTTAGTAATGCATGTCAGTAAATTGTATTATTTAAGTACTGTCCTTATCCTCCACTGAATCTTTTTTTCTGAAAGGTTCTGAGATCAGATTTAGATTTTTAGGTTTATCTCCTTTTAAATTAATGATCATCGAGCTTCCTGTTGTTGAGTTCCTGAGGACTGCACACGAGCACATCTGTGCTGGTGTTTTTTACACACACCCATTGTGGGCAAATGCTTACATAAATATGATAACATAAAACAAGCATTGCATGTGTGTGTCATGGTTTTATTAAGTTCACATGAACTACAGCTGCTACTGCTGCTGCATTCACAGTTTGTAGGAAATGTCAGCACTTCAGTGCTATGAAAGACTTATTCTACTATGTTATTCCTCCACAGATACGAGCCTAAGACCAACGAGCTGATCAACGAGGAGCTCGGCATTGCCTATCCCGTCATCGAAGGCATTCCCAACATGATCCCTCAGGAGGCCAGACTCATTCGGAAAGATGCTTCAGACACACCTGCACAGTAACAGAAAAGCCTTCACTTTGAGTTGACCTGAGCAAAAACAAACTGGACGCTGGCTTTAAAAAAACTGTTTGACTAAATAAAATTGAGGTGTTGGATTCTTTCAGTTGTATTTTGGCATTCTAGCCAAAGCGCACGTAACACATCATCATCCGGCAGCGCGTTACCTCCGAGCCCATCTGCAAACATGTTGTCCCTGTCTGTGATGGTGGGACTGGTCCCCATAGTGTCCCTCTTTGGTTTGTTCTACTCTGCGGCGGTGGATGAGAACTTCCCTCAGGGCTGCACCAGCAGCAGCAGTCTGTGCTTCTACAGCCTGCTGCTGCCCGTCACCATCCCCGTCTACGTCTTCTTCCACCTCTGGAGCTGGATGGGGATCAAGCTTTTCAGGCACAACTAGGCTGGCAGCTCAACACAGATGTGTTGAGTTGCCAGCCTCACACAGTTGTAAAACATCTGTGGCTGAAGTGGCTTTCATTTCTTTAAGCCCTTTGGAGGAAGGTAAAGACGGATGGTGCATGGATGCTTTTTAAAGCTGAAAATATTTTTGTGTCTCATTTAGAGTATGAGACAGTATGTTAGTCATTACAGCTGTTAAACAAACCCCTGGATATCATTTGCACATAAAGTAGAAGGCTGTATATTTTCTGAGCAAATAATAAAAATCTTTATGCAAATCCACTGTTTCCATACTTGAGTCCTGACTTCACAAAACGGGAACATCTACTCGTTTTAAATGAATGCATTTGAATATATAACAGACTACATTTGTGCAGAATCGACTGTGCTGTGATCTGCAGTGTGTCTCAGTTTTATTGCATTCAGAAAATTCACAAGCTGACATTTAAAAGTGGAACTCAGACAAACTTGCCTGACAGCTCAAACATGACAGAGCACCCAAAACTTTTAAGTCGCGCTGCACAACACCGTCCTCAGATGTGTTTTTCTACCACAGTTCATGTTGAACTCATGAAAGCGTGATTCCTCTTGTGATGAATGTTGGGAACGTTCAGCAGGAGCCTTCAGCGTGCATCATAGAGGGAAACGCGATCTGACAGCATTAGAGCTGCTGACTTTCTGCTCAAAGACTCGGGTTGAGCTCGAGGTTCAGGAGCAATGCAAATTTGACACACGCTGCTCTTCACCTGAAGCCACGAAAACTGAACTGGTGTTGCAGAAATGATGCAGTGTCTGCTGGAAAAGTTTTGGGAATGCACAAACTGTGACGTCTAAGGACTTTAATCTGAATCAAGAGTTACGATGGAGGCAGGTCGGAGTGTAGAAACCTGAAGATTCCTGCTTTTGAGTTTCAAACTTTGATTTTAAAGTTGTTTCTTTTCTTCTGTGTTCTCACAGTCATGCTGTTTCTTCTCGATTTTCTTTCCTCACAGCTGCTCATCCTTCTGTGAAACAGAAAGAGACAGGTTGGTTATTTTATTGAATTAGCGTGACTTAGTGCTCTTTTGGTATGAGCAGAGACGCCCAGCACTGAGCTGCTGACGGTCATTTTACGTTGGAGAAAGTTGAAAAGAGTCACTGCTTGTTTGATTTGTCAGTTTTGCAGACAACAGCACACAGAGCACTTGTATCATGAGTCATGAGCAAACTTCCACTGGCTCTACTTTACACAATATACGTATATATGAAAACAAAACAGAAATTTGATGCCTGTGATATTCCAGAGAAAGACCTCAGGCTTTATGTGGCACGTATGTGCACATCTATCCATAAACTGGATTAATCATGCAAACTGCACGAACGTGAGATCCACGTGGCTGCATGAGGAGCTGTCAATGCTACGTTTGGTGCCTTTAAAGTTACCCTTCAGGATATATATTGCTCTTATGACTTATTAGTTTCCCAGGTGAAATATGGATATGGCATCCTGCAGTTGCACCAGCAGCACAGTGGCCAGCAAGGCTTGCAACGCCTGCCCTGACCTCATTCATTAATGAATCTGTGGAGGATGGTCATCATTTCCTCCACGGTGCTTTTGGTTATCCTGCACAGTGTGGCAAGAAAACAAACCTTCCCATCGCCCAGTAGGAGGCTCCACAGACCAGCCAAAAGTTATTACCAGCTGTGTCACGGCTCCATCACTGTGGGCAGGCAGATGGAGCAGCATGTGAGTGTTGTTGATAGTCTGAATGCTGGTTTGAGATCAGCTTCAGTGATGAAGGAGGACATTCGGTGTGCATAAGGAGATTAAAGGCAGTCTTTAAGTCCCAGCTAGCTCAAACATGAGATAAAATACGCTGCACAGGTAAACTCGTGTTTTCTTTCTGAGCAAATCAGTTAAGCCAGGACTAAAGTTAAGCTTCATAACTGCATGAATGTAAGTTTTATATTTTACTGGAGCAGTGCTAGTCAATCCTTTCTTTTTTATTCCCTAAATATAGAAATGTGTTGTTTGTTGTAATCATTTGTTTTGCATCAAATATTTTTAAAAATATTTTAATCCAGAGACAAAACTCGGCTTCTGGAAAAGAAAAAATGATCACGTTATGAGTCCTAATATTTGCTCCACTGTGTTGTAAACACAAGTTCTCCAAAATATTTATAAGAATTGATAAGAAACGAAGATCACTGAAACTATTAAAACCTCATTTTAACATGTTTTTGTTCAATAAGCCTCATAAGTTATGGATAAACCACATGAACCTTGTGTTTCTGTCATGTAGTGACTGATGCTGATCAACTGTATTTGGCTTTGCAGTTGTGCAAAAGTCTTGAGTCACCCCTCGTTTCTTTATATGTTGCTTCCTAGGAATCAGACAGACTTTCTTGTTGAGCAGCAGTTCTCTTTCTGAATCTCTTTTAAAGTTTTTCTTTGTTAAATCATTTACACTGATCTATGAATCAATTTTGCATAAAAAATGCTCCGAACCCAAGGGATGAAAAGGGGTTGTGTAGATACAACTTAGCAAAGAACCAATTTGAAATTGTATGTTTACACTTTGTTTACTAACTGCCTGTAGCAAAAATATCATTTGTTCCAGTTTCTTTAGTTGAATCTCTGCAAAATGCCAAAGATAGCACACTTTGAACTGAGGACTGGTGGGTCTAAAAATACTGTCTGCAGCAGATAAACAGTATCTGAAAGTCATGAGGAAAACGTCCTGCAGAGACCCGACAGGACCTGAGGGATGCATTTGGATGTTCAGCTGCTCCATCTACTGTTCACTGAAGCCTCATCAGAAACGTTCTCCGTGGAAGAGTGGCTGTCGAGAAGCCATTCTTAAAGAAGGGAAACGGGAAGAAAAGGCTGTGAAAGTTACGCAGGAACTGGACTGAAATCATGGAAACAGGTCTGATAGAGCAATGAATCCAAATGTGAAATTTTTGATTCAAATCATCAGAGGAGGATTATTTTGTTTCTGTTTATATTTTATTCTGCGATTTTTCTTTAACATTGAATATTTATCCTTTACTTGTTATGTCAGTACAGTTTATTATATTAACTGTTAACAATGGCACAAAATGCTGTGTCTGAAAATAATGCACAATATTTATACTTCGTCTATCTACATAGATAGACAGACAGACAGACAGATAGATAGATAGATAGATAGATAGATCTCATGTATGGAGGTGATTATCAGTATACAAGGCTTATAAAAACAAACAAACACATTCACTTCCTCTACTTGTAGCTCAGGAAAAAAAGCAAGCATAAGCTAACAAAGAAGCTAGCTGCAGATTATATCAAAGAGGTGTGTAAGTGAAATACAATTTATATAAATATACAAGTACAGGTTAATACAAGCTGTCAGTATAAAATATAAATATCACATTTGTTCATTTCTTAAGAGTTTACATAAAAATTACACCATTAGATATGCTGTTGCATGCTTTTTGTTGCCATGGCAGCTTTTGAAAAAAAGATTTCAGGGTAATGTTGTGGTGGGACAGCTGTAAGACTGGTACAGCGCCCCTGCATTACTGGTCCAGGTCATTGCTGTCACGGCTGGGGGGGCGATAGTGGCTCTGGCAAAACTCCCTGATCCGAGCACAAGCCTCCAGCATCATCTCCTCCGGGACTGTCACCACAATGCGGAAGAAGTTGGGATACTCAAACGCCTGTGAAACGTCAGGAAGGATGGAGTTTAGAAATATGTCGGTGTGAGGACCGACGAATCAGCAGTGAGAGGAAAGGTGATGGCGTCTTACCGAAGCAGGCAGACAGAAGACAGACTGCTCAGTCACCAGCCGTTCGGTGAAGTCCACATCGTTCTTAAAATCTGGGAAGTGATCCATGTCGATCCCAATCTGGAAAATGTAAACACCATGGTTGGTCTAACCTCTGAACTCTGAATGCTGACATCATTCAGACTCCTTTACTGTGTGCACGCTTCATTTGTAGTTTCCCACCAGTCAATTAAATCTTTCATTTTCAAAGGTATTCAGACCCTTTTAGTGGTTCCGACGTGTTCTCAGCTGTATTCCATTTGCCTGAATCATCCTTAATCCCTAATCCCTAATCATCTGACTGGAGAGACTTGAGAATTTCTCACATGGGATATCAAATCCCAGGATTTTTATTTCACGTCACCAAAACTCTCAGTAGATCTCTTTGATAAAACTATGGTGAAGCAGAAATCTGCCAACAGTGTCCCCGGGTGCTTAGCAGCCAAACTTTGGGAGAAATTTAAAACCATGAGGATTCTTCCTACATCCGTCAGTCTGGCCAAACAGAGTAGCCAGGCAGGTAGGTCCTTGATCACAAAGGTGACCAGGAGCCCAAACAGTCGCTCTGATAGAGCTTCAGAAGTCCTGGAGAACCTGCTGGTACCACCACCATCTCACCAGCACCCCATCAGTCAGACTTTTATGTTATGGGCAAAGAGAAATGTAAACTATGACAATCTGTCCAAAAGGCCAAAATGTAACTATTTGTTGCCATAGTAGAAGCACTTTGTCCATGTATCTACATCTCACATCTGCACATGGACACGCCTAAACTCATTATAAACCCCAATACACTCATTACCTGCTGACACTAGCCCCACAGAGAAGCACGGCGGTGGTATCATCGTGCTGTGGGGTGCAGCAGGTACAGGGAGATGAATGATGAATGCAAATAAATATAAATATTGTAGAGATTACCTAAGCTGTAACTGCTGCTCAAAGACCTCATTCAATGTGTGAATTAAAGGTCTAAAAGCTTCTGTAAAGTTTCTGTTTTAAACTCACAAATCTGATTTTTAAAGTCATTTAAATGGTTAAGTGTGAGTCATTTGCAAAATCCAGACACTGTGGAAATTTCCCATAAAATGTGATAACCTGGGCACAGAGCACAGTTCACTGCAAAAAGGATGATGATAAGTAAACTAAATGTGACTGAGAAAATGATCATGGCACAGAAATTTGAATGCAAACCACACGTTCAACGCTCACCATGATGTACATGGCTCCTGAAGGCATGACAGGGTTCAGGCCGGGGACGGAGGACAGCTCGCTGAAGCAAATCTCTGAGTTAGACTGAGGAAGCAAAGAACGATAAACCGTTCACACTGTGTCATGTGATGCATATTAATGTGCATTACTATGTGATTTCAGACAGAATTAAGACATAACAACAAGAATCTGGACTGAAGGAACAAAAAAGGAACCAGGGTCAGCTACTGCTACTCAAAGTTAATTATAAAGGTGGAATATATTAAAACAACTTCTCTCCATTACCTTAAGGAAGCCGATGGTGTTGTTGTAGAAGCTTTGAGGAGTGCTGTCGAGGATTTGCTCCAGCGCCCCCTGAACGATGCTGCAGGCTCCCAGAATACGCTGGCTGAGTTTTACCAGACCCTGTCGAATCTGAACGAAGAAACGTGTCAGTCGGGTAAATGTAATGTGCAAATTATTGTATATCATTGTGTGTTTGGGTTTGAGTATTGAAACAATCGGTCAACGCTTCCCCCATCAGGAACTGTAAAATAAATAAATAAAAAGTACCTCAGTTCCAAATATATCATTCCTGTCATGGATGAGGATCCATCCCATCCTCCAGCCAGGCACCAGCCAGCGTTTAGCCAAACCGCCACAGGACAGGATGGGAACATCACTGCTGAGGGATGCCATTGAAGGAGAACTGCATCCTGGGAAAACCTGAGGGCAAAAACAAGAATAAAACTTTATATTACATATGCAGATATTTGACTTCCTTTGACTTTCATATGTTTACAGATGTTTCGTTGAGGCAAACTGACGTGCAGCCGTTTTAATTCATATGACTTAAAAGGAGAAAATCATCATGCTGTTGTTGTTTGGATCAGTTTGGGTTTCCCACAGACTGACACCACAGTGAAAAAAACGAGAGGGCTTGGAGATAAGTGAAAAAAAATCATAGGAATTCTTGTTAATTTTGAAATTATGTTATTAACACGAAGGCTCGGTGTTAAAGAGAGACCAAACTTTCTCAGGCAGATCAGAGGAAGGACGGGAAGACCCAGGGCTGGAGGTGGGTTGCAAAGCAAGTTGCAGATGCACAGCAACTATTGCTGACTGAAGCAGCTCAAAGAGAGCACTTGCTCAAAGAGATCAGCTGATGTCTTATTTATTAATTAAGCATTTCTGTAGTTATGCTTTCTTCATTTCAACTTGTGTCTGATGCCCTCCTTAAAAAGAAGAGGAAACAAACTTCTGTCATTTACACAGCGATGTATAATCAGAACTACTTTCATCCTCATGTTCACTAACAGCATGACAGCAGCTGTTTACAGAGTAAAACACAGCAGCGAGGAAAGTGTTAAAAGACACAAACAACAATTCCATCAACTTTTTGCATAATCTTGCATAATATTCTTCCTGAAAGTCTCACAAAAATACCAGAGAGAAACAAAAGGAAGAGAGTTAAAGAGGGAGGCCGATGCTGAGGTAACCACAAAGAGAAAAGTTTCACCCACAGAAAGCTGGTTCTTATTAAAGCTGCGTGACATGGAGAAAAGACACTACCCCGCATCCTATTGGCCAGACTGAAGTGAATGACATAACAGCAGCACTAACGTGATTGCATAACTCGTTTTCTGGCACAAATGTCTTAAACGCCTCTCAGATCAAGAGGAGGACAAATGTAAAGCATTGATCAACATAGATGCAATAAAAAGCTTGATGGAGACAATGGAGTGAATGCATGTGCAGCTGTGTGCATGGCTTATAACTGTGACTCATAGGCAGGTCAAACATCTCCACAGAGAGCATGTTGACTGTGCAGACGTGCCCCATAAAACCACAATTTATCACTGAAGGGCTTACAGAGGTGAGGAGCAGGGGCACTGACCCACTGCCTGAAACGTCCTAGGTGCTGCAGCTCACAGTCGCCGCTCACTGAAAAACAGGCCTCACCAGTGCACCCTGAGGCCACGTCTCCACCCACCACACGGCCCCCATTCCTCCCCAGGTTCTGCGGTAACAAAACCAGACAGCTGCAGTAATTGCAAGCACATGCAGCCAAAAAAGTGCAAATTCATTCTGGTCTGCACATGCTCATTATGGAACGGTCCAATGGTGGCGAGGTGGTTTGTGGAAGCACCCAGTAACCCCGACTTTGAACTATTACACTCACAACAGCTCCCACAAAAACAAGCTTTCAAAAGTTGTTTTTTGTTCAGCTTTAATATCATCAAGCAGGCGAGTCAGCAAGTCCACTGCAACACAAGGCCTCCCAGTGTTTTTCCACAAAAGCACACATCTTCATCTCAACTCCAGAGCTGAGATGAAAACGTGTGAAGATGGCAAAGGAAATATCACAGACGATGCAGTGTGCAGCATGCATGTACTAAATGCCTCTTAAACGACTGATCGATCGATTGTTTTAGTTTGCACTCATTAGACAGACCAACACATTGTAAAGTGCAAAAGTCAAAACAGCTCAGATGTAACAAAGGACTGGAGGGAATAAATCCGAACAAGACCCAAACTGTCAACTTCAGCTGAGACAAAGATGATCGGAAACTCCTCAAAACAACCCCCACGAACTAAAAGATGCTAAAGCATCATCGTTACTGTCTACTGCTACGTGAGTTTTATTTAGCAGAGACATGCCTGGAGGATAAAGGTGAGGCAACAAAGAAAGAAAAAAACGAGTGTAAGTTCAAATATTTTGGGAACCATTTATGTCAGAGGTAGAACACTCTATATGTACAAATCATTTTTAAAATAATAGTTATTATAAATGCATCTGATGCACTTATAGCCTGTAAAAAGGAAATAAAGGTGTTCTGACAGATCAATTTGAATTCTCAGTGGAAAATTACTGCACTGTTGCCTCATCTCCATTTGTTGCGAGCTGACAAACAATATGATGGCTGCCAGAGAGTGTGTCTGCTTATCTGTGGACATATTTGCATGACCTTCAACTAAACTTTGACCAGTACAGATTTTCCCAGACTGATGGTAAATGGCCTGCATTTGTATAGCGCTTTACTCAGTCCCTAAGGACCCCAAAGCGCTTTACACTGCATTCAGTCATTCACCCATTCACACACACACTCATTGTTATAAGATATGCATGTTAAAATGTGTTGCATCACTGACGGTTTCAAGAAGAGTTGCAGAATAAGAACTTTTCACATTTTATGAGCGGAGATCTAATTTTATTACTTTCAAGTGCGAGAAAATATTTTAGCAAATGTGAGGACAATAAGCTTGTCCTCATAAACGTTACGCTACATTATTATTCTTATTATGAGCAAATGCAATACTGCTGATAATGAGCAGAGAAGGATTTGTAACTGGAAGGTTTATATAACATATTAACAATATTTAAGACCCTATTATCCTTCGATGTAGAGTAGACATTGATTTGTTTTAATATGTTGGAAAAGTTTTGCTGTTGAAAAAAATATCTGAAAGAATCTTCAGAAACAGGAATATTTCACAGTTTCTGATAATGCAAAGCTGATGAGCAATCAAACTTTTGAAAGAGCTCCATGATTACACCCACGTGTTCAGAAAAACAGTGTGACTGGTCCAGTATAGACCGAGCTGTCACTATATGCTGATGATTTAATTCTGTTTATTAGACAAAAATCTGTTCTAGCTTTATTCCATTTAATCAAACCTGAAATCTTTAAAGAAAACCTGTAAGTCACTGGGCCTAGAAAAACAGACCACAGTTTTGCTGCATAGTTCTACTGGAAGTCTGTTCCTGTTAAAAGGCAGGTCTTTCTCCCCACCATCACCAAGAGATGTTGAGAGAGGATCGTCTGATTGCTCGGATCTTTACCTCACTATTTAAGGTGCCCTGAGAAAACTGCTGTAAATTGGAATGAAATGTAATATTCCACACAGGTGAACAAACCATACACTTATTAGATAATGTCAACATAACTCCTTTTGGAGCAGTGCTGGTTATACAATGCTAGTACTATTTTGTGAGTGTACACTCGATACTTGTTCAAATGTTCAAATCACATGTTTTTGCTCCTTTTTGACAAAAGTTGCTTTAAATGTCCAAAAACATTTGTGTGACAATTTGTGGCTTTTACAGTTTTTACAACCAACATGACAAAATGATAAAATAGAAACATGTGGGACTTACCTTTTATATTTAGTACTGGACTGTATGTTTTAACATGGATGCGGTCTCACTTTAAATCTTTATCTATCCACTGCTTGTCCTTGCTGACCTCCCGGCCACTGGCCTGCACAGAGGCACTAATCCCCCCCATGTGCTGATGTGAGGTTGTGCACGCACATCAGCACATGCAGAGCCAGGGCAAATGCCACCAATTGGAACAGAACATCTACTGTCATTGTGGTTTAAAACAAAAAGAAAGTGCCTCGCTGGTGTTGCACGAGCCAAGCCCACCTGTGCTGAGATGCAGCTTGTGTCGACAGCTGCTACACTCACCATGTCACTGTAGATCTCATCAGCCAGGATGGGGACACAGTGTCTGGAGGCCACTGGACAAAGTAAGAATGGAATTGTTTGAGAGATGTTGTGTTTGTTTGCTTACAAAACTGGAATTCTTCCCCACTCTGAGTGCAGCCAACCTTTGAGGATCTCCTGCAGGTGCTTCTTGTTGAAAACAGAGCCACACGGGTTGGATGGGTTGGTGATGATTAGACAGGAAGTCCTCTCATCAATCAGGCTCTCCATGTGCTGCAGGTCAACCTCCCACGACTTCTCCGGCTGTGAAAATAATCATAATACATGTTTATGCACTGATTATGTTTATTATCATTACTTTACTTGTATATTATGTTCATACCACTTTTACTTTAGTAACTTTACAAATTACATGCTCATAAAATCTGATTCTTTGATATAAATGAATCCAGTTAACAGAAAACATAAATGCTGTGTGTGTTCCACAGCCTTCACCGTCACCAGCCTCATTCACATGTTTCCTGCTCTGTTGCTCCTTTGAGATGTGGTCATTAAAATATGTGAAATCTTTCTGGGAGAAATAACAGATAAGCTGAGTGTGGCAGATCCATTTGAGTTTACCCATGATTGATGCACTTGAAAAGATGATGCCACTAAAATGTAATAATCATAACTGTTCCAGCCCAAAAAGTGTTTAGTGCTTAGGCCAGCATTAAAAACAGAGAAACTGTCCCCACACTTACAAGCAGGTTGTAGAGTTTGACCTCGATGCCCATGGAAACAGCCAGAGTTTTATATAAGGAGAAGCCTGGGCACGGTACCAGGATATTGTCTCCTGGGTTGCACAACACACTGATAGCCAGGTCGATGGCCTGACTGCATCCGCTGGTCAGAATCACATCCTGGAAGAGAGACAGGGTCTTCTTTAGTTCGGAGAATCTGTTAATTTCACACAGGAACTCAAAACAATCCACTGTAACGAGCAGATTGACGCCAAAGCCATTTGCTACTGAGTTTTTAGTAAAAGTGTAGTTCACATTTCAGATTTAGGGGCAGGCGGTAATGTGTGTGAGGAGTGAGCACCTCTGCCTCCAGTGGAGCCTCAGGGCAGCTGTGGAAGTTTGCCACCGCCTGCCGACTCTGCAGGTAACCTGTCAGTGGACGCAGAGAAAGGATTCATGATTGTACATGTTCAACAGTTTCTTCTGCGCTTTGCTGGCTCTTAGAAAAACATATTTATCTTTGCATCTATCTTTTCACATCATTTCACTTTAGGGATGGCTCACCGACAGAGGGAGCATAGCCGTTGTATTTTTGGGAGTCTATGGCATCCTTCATGGCCTGAAGCACTGCACCATGGGTGGGCAGGTTTCCAAACACGGTGGGATCCCCTGAGGAGCAAAGGTGAAGGTAATCAGCAGTTAGAAAAAACAAAGAATAAGCATGATGCAAACCCCCAAATTTAAAGGGAATTTTACGAGGAATCTCCTCACCGATCGAAAGTGCGATCATGGGTTTGTCCGGGTTCGGGGTGAGCTTCATCCCATCCACGATGGCCCTGATGGGGTTGAGCGTGTTGTTAGCCATCTCCGAAGGCTTCACCTCCCACCGCTGCCTCCGGCTCTTAGATTTGATCGGGTATAAGGCGCCTTTGATGTTGACATGGTGGACGCCATTCCCGTGCACCCCGTTTCTGTTCACTCCATTTTCATTTAGGGTTTTTCCATTTACCGTAGTTTTGCCACAAACTCCATTCCCGTTCATCTGAACCATGTAAGACTTGGTCTCCATCCTGGAACTAAAGAGTCCAGCACAGGATTAACAAATGATTCATTTAATCAGACTCAGTCTTGTAATGTGCCGTACTTTGTATCTATACTCTCCTAGATTGCAGAGGTGTCAATTTCATATACAATATTTATATATTAAATATATAAAAATCTGTATTGATATTTATCATATTTATATCTGTAACTGTATTACAGACATATTTATTAATATATTTATTTAATGTAAACGTATGTATTTTTATTTATTTTTCCCAGTTTCTGTAAATATGTAAATTGATACAAATGCATATAAATACCAACGCAGAAAAATCCTAATTCTATAAATTCATTAGTTCCTTTGCTTATTTTATTATGACTGATTTTATCATCAGTGATTCCTCTGCATTATAGAATGTTTATTTATTTCTATTTATTTATTTGTTTAGTTATTTACTAAAGAGAGAGCTCTGAGTGTTTGTGATGGTGCGGTCACCAACAACTAATAATATATAAATACATACATGCATACATTTACCAATTAATACATAAAGTATGTCAAATTAAAAATTTATTTTAAAAACAATTAAAAATGAATGAATTCAAATGAATAGGAACATTTTACATTAATTAGATTAATTAGAATCTTTATTTGTATTTTTATGCATTTAATTGCTCTTTGTGTTTTTAGTACAATGACATAAGTTGAGTCCAATGAAATAGAATAAATGAATTAATCTGGGCCTTTGGGTTCGCCTTCTGATGCTGATGCATTTAGTTCCTTTCTATTAAATACATTTAGTTTATTTAATTGTTCAATTCTGTTTTCATTTCTTTAATTTGGCTCCGTCATCTCCGGTATATGAACAAAGGGCTCCAAAAAAAGGGGGGGAGGGGGGTTCTTGGTGTTTATTGGGCCTGATTACTCCTGCTTACTTCCAGCTGTGTGAACTTTGTGTTTGGAAAATACTAAAATAAAATACTAGAAATACTAAAAATCTTCCACCGACAACCTTCATACATCAGTATTATCTATGGGTTTTTTTTAAAAACGAATATATATATACACACACACACACACACATATATGTACTATACTTTAAATACTGTAACCGTTGTTAATGGTCTCGCCTACATTGTGAAAAAAATATTTTTCCTGAGGTACAAAAAAAATAATAAATTGTAAACTTTAGGTTTTGTGCGTAAAAAAAGAAAAAACAAGAAACAATTTATATATTTTCCTCATCAACGTGAATTATTGATCTGCTCAGATTTTGATCTCTTTTGCTGGATTACATTTTAACTTTCAAAGCTTTTCTGTTCAACATTGTAATAAATGAAAGTGACCGCATTCACAGGTTAATATTTCATTGATAATTCATTCATAGATTCATCGGTCTACAAAGAAGCTGAGTTTTAGTATTAAGTGGTTTAAAGCATAAAGTTATCCGGTCGTAATAAGAGTGCTGTAATGTGTAATATAAGTCTTTGAAAACTTGTAATTTATCAGGATGACACTCAATTCATACGTGATTTTAAATTTGCCAATTAATGAAATTACATAATTTTAAAAAAAGAAAGAAAAATAATGTTGTTTACTTACCTCATGATTTATTCAAAGTCTCCAAAAAGCAGCAGCGCAGTTTAATCACTCTCAGTTAAATTAAAGAACAGAAGCCAGGATGTACAAACCCGGCTTTATAGCGAGATCCCTGAAAATGGGTGTTGAGCCCTGCCCATAATTCCATTGGTGGAGGTTGAGGGTTGTACCATCACACCCCTCTAACATCACTAACCAGAACCATACGACCACAAAACCTTAACAGCATCAATCAGCATGTAGGAGCAGTGAAAGAGAGGAGCTGGCCTCACGCACAGGGAGACCGCCTCAGTGCGTCACGCCAGAATCAGCTGGGGCCAAAGCGAGGGTCTGACAGCAGGACAGAAATCTATTGATCGTGAAGGCAAATATGAGTCCCACAGCCCGGGACATATGAAGGTCTGCAGGAAGTGAAAGTCATCTTCATCTTATGCCAAAACATTACTAACATTTTAATGCTGTTAATGACCTAAATACACTTTTGTGTATGTATGTGTGTGTGTGTGTGTGTGTGTGTGTGTGTGTGTGTGTGTGTGTGTGTGTGTGTGTGTGTGTGTGTGTGTGTCCTTTACATATTGTTGTGATTTACATTGCTGTGCTGGAACCAAAATTCCTTGTATGTGTTTGTGCATATACTTGGCCATTAAACGCACTTTCCATGGAAATGAATGAGTCTAGTTTCCAGCACTGATCAGAGACCATCCAGATCAAAGCTTTTCCCTGGAAATATCAAAGAGATGTCATCACCTTCCACTGCTTCCTAACTTATAAACAAGGTTTCTTCTTTGCTTTATGCACATAAAACCATAAGACAACAGAAAAATTATGAAAGAAAATTGTGAGAAAACAAACTAGGCTCTGCCTGTGAATCACAGTCTTCCTCCTTCCATCTCCTTCACTCTCCACTTGCTGTCCACCTGAGAACGAGGCACAATCTGCTATTATTTAATTATCCACACTTAATAATAATAATGATGGATTGGATTTATATAGCGCTTTTCTAGGCACCCAAAGCGCTTTACAATTCCACTATTCATCCACACACTGGTGGAGGCAGCTACAGTTGTAGCCACAGCTGCCCTGGGGCAGACTGACAGAAGCGAGGCTGCCATATCGCGCCATCTGGCCAACACCAGTAGGTAAGTAGGGTAAAGTGTCTTGCCCAAGGACACAACGACCAGGACAGAGAGCCCAGGGATCGAACCGGCGACAGATGCGGTTCCTGACCCCCTGAGCCACGGTCGCCCCACTTAACAACTCTTGCACCTAATCCATAATAAAGTAATGACAGGAAATGTTATAGAACCAAGAAATTGTGTTTATCATTGTTTTTATACTTGAATACCTCTGCGATGCAACAACTGATGCGTGTGTTATTGTGACCTGTCCTGTACTGCAGCTGCTGAGGGATCCACTGCTTTAGCCTCACACAGCTGCTTCTGTCACTGTTTCCTCCTCGTGTCCTTACGGGGCATGTCTGCACAATAACATAACATGAGTAATAATTTTTAAAAATCGATACACAATCATTTTGCTGCTGCAGCATTTTGTCATATTTGAAATATAAATCTAATCTATAATCTGTTTACAGATTATATATACAGTGTGTGCGGTTTTTTGAATATCATAATTATAATATTATAATATTCCATATTTATGTGGCAGGGAAAAGCCCTGTAGCTCTTCACGAGCTCCTTCCCGGCTCGTAACCGGCACGCACTGCCGTCAAGGGCGAGCATTGGTTAATGGTCATCATGTGACTGATGCAAGCCTTTTATTTAGCAAAATTGTGAATAATAGTTAAATGTTTTTGTTGAGGGGCACAGGCAGGACCCCACACGCACACACATAGAAGAAAAAATGCCTCAAGAAAAGGGCACTTGGGGCACCCAACGTGCTCAAGCCCCCTCCACCCCCTCTGCACGTGCCTGGCGTGAACACTAAACTGATCATCACGTCTTGTCTTGTCAGGAAGCTGGTAAGGAGTGTGTTGTGGGAGCGGAGCTTTGCTGTAAATATCGAGTGTTGGATTTCCACCTTTCACACCACGGACCACGAGCACCGTGCAGGAGTCGGGAGTACCACAGAAGGAGTCACACTTTTGAAAACTCTTCAGACTCTCTGTTCATTATTCAGTGTAAATAAACTGACTGTCGCTCACCAAAACTACCTGGTTGGATTTTATAAGACTTAAATTTATGGTTGTGCCCTCTTTGATCCAGGCCCTGGATACATACATCATAGTACAAAACACAGGAAGATGCAAAACACTGGGTCAAATGACCCAGGACCATGACACGCTCAGCCTTTCTCGTCCTTTTTAAAGGAATGAAAATGTACAAGTCCAACCTTAGTGATGTAAAGAGTGTGAGCAGCAGCCAGATGCTGTCTATCAAATGCACTAGATTATCTGATCATCGGTAAGTGATGAGGTCCTGGCAGTTTGGAGATCTGGAGAACCAAGAAGGAAAGACATCAGAAAGTGCTGCTGCTCATCCATCTCAGAGGTCATTTCAGAACAAGTCCATCATTCTATAGCGAGAACTCCCCAACGAATTCACCCCAAGGTCAGACTACGCAATACTCAAGTAAACAGCAAAAAACAAAGCACAAAACTTCTGGAACAGACGAGACCAAAGTGGAGATGTTTGTCTATGATACACAGCAGAACGTTCGGAGGAATCAAAGGCCTCAGAGCAGCTGTCAGCACAGTGGAGGAGCAGTGATGATTTGGGCTCCGTGTGCTCACTGAGTGGTCAGTGAACTCCTCCAAACCGAACCACCTTAGGAACGATTTACAGTCTCTGCAGCTCCTGCACATCATTTACGCTTTTACGTCCCGTACCAAGACAAAAAGTTACTGGTTCATGGAGGCTATAAAATACTAAGACTGACGCTTGACTGAGAAAAACATGTTATGCATTCACGTGTGCGGACAGCCAGTCACTGGGTTCTCAATCAATAGCCGACAAACAAACAGAACTTCAAACCAAACACACTTAATGCTCGACAGCTACAGCGAGCACTCTGACTGGCTGGCAGTGAAGAGGTGGAAACTACTCTTTATGCAACGGCCCATCAGTCAAGCATCATGCAGTCATTTCAAAATAATGTCAATGAAAAGGAGACTCCCCTCTAGCTTTCAGGTCTGAGAGGTGAAGCCAGCGTTCTGCCCACTGACCAGCAGGGAGTGACTCCTGTTTACAAAGAAGCAACAGCCTCTGCCCCATCTTTAATCTGCTGCTGTGCTGTGGATGGTTTCGTCCTTTCACAGAGGGTGGATTGTTTTTGTGGTGGTGATCTCCTCCATATGGAGCTATGGGCACCTGAGTGGCGTCTGACAGAAGCAGCTGTAGCAAACGAGTTTTATTGAGGGGACCATGAAGTTAATTTGTAAATAAGATTCTCCTGTGGCATCTGAATGAGAAGGAAAGCTAACATGACAGTGGCAGAAGCACTCAGCAGGAGGTTTCATAGCAGGACTTCACTAACCAATGAAAGCTACAGTGGCTGCCTTTTATTTTCAGTTCAATTCAAATCAGTTTTATTTGTATAGCAACAAATGACAAGAACAGCTTACTCAAGGTGTTTTATACTGTGAGGTAAACACAATTTACAAATAACAGAATACTTTAAAGTCTCAGCAGGAAGACTGAAGAATGCCTTTTCAATGTTATTGTGTGACTTCTGTTTCTCTTGTTTTTGTTTCATGCTTTTGGGGAGATCCTGCAAAATCCTGCCTCCTAATCTGAACGAACTCGATGTGTTAGTAAAAAAAAGGTTTGCAAAGTTGGCAAGTTCTTCAAATGTCCTGCCTCAAAATGCTAAAAAACTAAAACTGTGTTTATTGGCACAAACAGCCAGAAAAAAACTGTTTTCCCTGTTTAATTTCTATCTATGTGAGGAAATGTGTCTTATTAGAAATACAAGAGCCAGCTGAATCTATACATGTAAACATTTATAAAACCCTGTTTCTTGTTAATCCCTTTAAGTCACAGATAACCATAAAAAATATTGTTTGAGCAAATAAGAGGAAGAGTTACTAACCAGATATTTTGGCTTCTTGTGTCACCTTGCAAAGTTTCGTGTGGCTGTCGATCAACAGAAGGCCAAGAAGAATAGCCGAGACCATAATCCTTATTTAAATAAAGAAGAATTACTAAATTCGTTTTCAGCAGGGATGCACCAGCATCTGGTGATATCAGCCAATAGACTGATGCGAGTGCTTCATATGAGTCGCTTTATTTTAACATCAGCAAAAGCTCAGAAAGTTAAAAGATGATTAAAGAAGCAACACCGACAATGAAAGAAAGGACTTAAGGTCTTATGGGAAAGCTCAGAAATGACCGTCTCTGGGACTTACAGTGGGGCAAAAAAGTATTTAGTCAGCCACCGATTGTGCAAGTTCCCCCACTTAAAATGATGACAGAGGTCAGTAATTTGCACCA